CAAATGCCTTCTGGAAATCCAGATACACCACATCCACAGGTTCCCCATTGTCCACCATACAAGTAATGTCCTCAAAGAATTCCATAAAATTAGTTAAACATGACCTACCCTTCATGAACCCGTGCTGGGTGTTCCCAATGGGACAATTTATATCCAGATGTCTTGCTATTTCTTCCTTAATGATAGATTCAAGCATTTTCCCCACTACCGAAGTTAACCTAACTGGCCTATAGTTACCTGCTTTTTGTCTACTTCCTTTTTTAAACAGTGGCATCACATTGGCTGTTTTCCAATCTGCGGGAACCAGCCCAGAGTCCAGTGAATTTTGGTAAATAATTACTAGTGCATCTGCTATTTCCCCCATCACCTCTTTTAGTACCCTGGGATGCATTTCATCAGGGCCAGGAGACTTGTCTACCTTTAGCCCCATTAGCTTGACCAACACTGCCTCCTTAGTGATAATGATAGCTTCTAGGTCCTCACCTGCTATAACCTTCTTGTCATCAGTTTTCGGCATGTTATTTGTGTCTTCCACTGTGAAGACCGACACAAAATAATTGTTTCATGCCTCGGCTATTTCCTCATTCCCAGTTATTAAATTGGCCTTCTCATCCTCTAAAGGACCAATGTGTACCTTCGCCACTCTTTTACAATTTACATATTTATATACACTTTTGCTGCCTGTTTTTATATTTTGAGCTAGTTTACTCTCATAATCTATCTTACTTTTCTTTATAACTTTTTTTGTGGCTTTCTGTTGGCCTTTAAAGATTTCTCAGTCTACTAGTTTCCTACTAATCTTTGCTTTTTTGTCTGTATTTTTTTAAATCTGATACTTTCCTTTATTTCCTTAGACATCCATGGCTGACCATTTCTTTTCCTACAGTTCTTCCTTATCACTGGAATATACTTCTGCTGAGCACTGTGAAAAATCGTTTTGAAAGTCCTGCACTGTTCCTCAATTGACCCACCATAAAAATTTTGCTCCAATTTAACCTTACCTAACTCCTCCCTCATCCCATCATAGTCTCCTTTGTTTAAGCACAGGACATTGGTACTGGATTTAACCTTCTCACGCTCCATCTGTATTTTAAATTTGACCATACTGTGATCGCTCCTTCCAAGAGGATCCCTAACTGTGAGATCATTAATTATTCCTGTCTCATTACACAGGACTAGATCTAGGATAGCTTGCTCCCGCGTAGGTTCCATTACATATTGTTCAAGGAAATTATCACGGATGCATTCTATGAACCCCTCCTCAAGGCTGCCATGACCAACCTGGTTTGACCAATCGATATGTAGATTAAAATCCCCCATGATAATTGCTGTACCATTTTACATGCATTAGCTATTTCTATGTTTATTGCCTGCCCCACCACAATGTTGTTATTTGGTGGCCTATAGACCACACCTATCAGTGGCTTCTTCTCCCTGCTATTCCTAATTTCCACCCAAATGGATTCAACCTTTTGTTCAGTAGAACCTATATCATCTCTCACTACCGCCCTGATATCATCCTTAAAAATCAGAGCGACACCACCTTCCTTACCTTCCTGTCTGTCCTTCTGAACAGTTTGATACCCCTGGACATTTAACTCCCAGTCATGACCATCCTGCAACCATGTCTCTGTAATGGCCACTAAATCATACCCATTTGCCATGATTTGCGCCATCAACTCATCCGCTTTGTTTTGAATGCTCTGAGCATTCAGATAAAGCGCCCTTATGCCAGTTTTTGCACCTTCTTTTTGGGTCCTATCACCTCCATTACTAACAGTTCTTGAGTTCTCCTTCCCTTTAAGTTTTTTCCTAATTTTCAATGGAGTTGAAGCTTCCTCATCACCTGCTAACCTGCTGCTTTACCTTCCATTAATTGTCATACTCCCTGCACACTCACTCCTCTCTTCCCCCCTCCTTATTAGTTTAAAGTCCTATTGACCGCCCTATTTACCACCTCAACCTCAGTTCAGAGCAGTAATCAAGGGAGTATAAATTTCATTATCACCTTGCACTTCCAAAGCAGACTTTAAACAAGTGTGAGAACAGAGTAATTTAAGAGCTGTAAGGTTACTCGGGAAATTATAGAGAAAGACGGGCTTCATAGAATGCATGCACATAGCTTGTGTTTCAATGATTATAAATCACGTCTCATTGTAAATCTTGTCTCATTATTAGTGTAAAATGAGTCACAGTAATTAAGTGAGTAAATAAGGCACACACTTACAAGACCTACACCCGTTCCATCATTGGAGGCTTCCATCATTGGAGGCTTCCATCAGGGAGACACCATTTGTCTGATAGCCTGAGAACACTGTCTCATACTCACTTTGCTGCTAGGTATTACTGCAGTGCTTGAGATGACCCGACACTATTCTGACCCACTTCACCAGCTCATCACCACCTTAAGGCCAGTACTTTGAACAGTGACGTCCGGATGGCTTTAACAAACCAATAACTTTAAATAAAGATACCCCACCTCTGGGCTGCCCTCCAGCTTGTGTTCCCAGCTCCATCCGCTGCAGAGGTGGGAATGATGAAAACGGAAAACTTTTGCATTACTTCACTCCAAACTCATATTCTAAACACATCCCTTTCTCATTGAGGCAGGAATCTACAAAGCCAAGAATGGAGGCAGGGCATCTTCATCCAGGTTCATAGACTATAAGATACAGGAACAGGAGTAGGCCATTTGGCCCTTCTAGCCTGGTCTATCATTCTATAGGATCGTGGCTGATCCAACATTTTTTACATCCACTTGCCTGCCCTTTCCCCATAATCCTTGATTTCCCTACTCTTCAAGAATATATCTATCTAAGGACACAAGGACACAAGGACACTGCCCCCACAGCTCACCGCAATGAGGAGATCCAGAGGCTCACAACCATCAGAAAGAAGTAATTCCTCCTCATCTCCTCTGGTCCTAGTCTCGCCATGAGGGGAAACATCCTCTCAGCATTTACCCTATCAAGCCCCTTAAGAATCCTATATGTTTCAATGAGATCACCTTTCATTCCTCTAAATTCCAATGAGCAGAGTCCCACCCAGTTTAACCTTTGCTCATAAGACAATCCCTCTATAGTGGAGATCATCCTCATGATCTTCAGCCTCTGATGAAACAATATTTTCCCTTAAATAAAGGGACAAAACTGTTCACAGTACTTCAGATATGGTGTCACCAGCACCTTGCACAGTTGCAGTCACACTTCCCTACTCTTATACTCCTGAAGTAAAAGCCAACATTCTATTAAGTTAAAGCAAAGATCTGTGGCAACTGGTGATCTGAAACAAAAACAGAAATTGCTGGAGAAATTCAGCAGGTCTGGCAACATCTGTGGAAAGAAAGCAGAGTTAACGTTTCAAGTCCAGTGAACTCATTTCTGATGAAGAGCCACCGGGCCCAAAACATTAACTCTGTTGCTCTCTCTCCACAGATGCTGCCAGACCTGCTGAGTTTCTCCAGGAATTCCTGCTTTTGTTCCAATATTCCATTAGCCTTCCTGATTACCTGCTGCATCCATGTGCTGGCTTTCTGTGTTTTGTTCACAAGTATTCCCAAGTCCCTTTCTGTTGCAGCTTTCTGCAGTTTTCTCCATTGAAGTACTAGCCTGTTCTCTTGTTCCCTCTCCCAATGAACAACTTCACACTTTCCCACATTATACACCATGTGTTATTTTCATTTTTGGTCTGCTCTGGTTCTGATTGGGTCGAAGCATGACAATAGACTGCAAGCTCCATTATAGGGCTCCCAGGCTGAGCTCCATCACAGTTCTCCCAGGCTGAGCTCCATCACAGGGCTCCCAGGCTGAGCTCCATCACAGTTCTCCCAGGCTGAGCTCCACCACATGGCTCCCAGGCTGAGCTCCATCACAGGGCTCCCAGGCTGAGCTCCATCACAGTTCTCCCAGGCTGAGCTCCATCACATGGCTCCCAGGCTGAGCTCCATCATATGGCTCCCAGGCTGAGCTCCATCACAGGGCTTTCAGGCTGAGCTCCATCACAGGGCTTTCAGGCTGAGCTCCATCACAGGGCTCCCAGGCTGAGCTCCATCACAGGGCT